GGTGATACAATCTAGGCCCTGTATCGAGCTTTATGACATCAGCCATGATAAACAAGGCGGGGCCCCTGAGAGAGCTTGATGACACGTGTACCTTCAAGATAGTGATGTCATTAACGTCAGAGAGGTTTCAAACATGTTTACAAATAAGTGATGCTCTTATGTTGTAGCTCGTTACTTAATATATGATGGTAGTTGTTGATATAATACTGTAAATGGTGCTTCAGCGGGTTACTTTATTGTTAGAGAGTTCAGAATATAAATGACCAATTTCTACACAAGACTGTATCAGTGTTGGTAAATGTGTTGTATTACCAGGGGGGGAAATGGTCTTGTATTTCCTTATGGTCGTTGCTTGTAACTTTCGTATTATCATGAATTAATTATTATCCATTAAATGAACAACTTTATTCATTGATTATTCTTCCAGTTCTTGACCACCCAAATGTGTAGACTATTATTATTATTATTATTATTATTATTACCATCAGTAAAAGTAATTCTGTACTATATTTAAGTTTATTCCATCAGTATTCTTTTATATTTATCTAGGTATTTATTCTCGGTGCAGTTTTCCTTACCTTTCTTTCTTAAACCATTATTACTTACTGCTCCTCCTAACTCAACACTCCTGATCTTGGGGGAAAACCGTACTGAAGGTTTGTAATTGTTTATTACAGCCGTTGGCGCCCGGGAATGATCTGTACCTGTCGCCTTTCTTCCTGCTTTAAGAAATAACACAATTAGTGGATTTTTTTTATTTCTTGTATATAACTAATCTCTTAATTCCTAAATATATGTGTATGAATGTATGTATGGAGGTTTATGTAGCAACAAAACAATTTCATTCTTCTTACACTTGGAAGTCGAAAACATTGGAAAAAAAGCTGAAAATTTTAAGTTTTAAGATTTGTCTTATATTGACATAGGTTCTGTACAGTATATACAGTATACCATCAGTACAAGAGGTTGTGTCGGCCGTCACTGAAGCTCCAACAAGACGCTGTGGACGGAGACCGACCACTCGCCAAAGGGTTAGATCAGCGGTATTACTGGGCCACACTCTAGCGAGGTAACAAGAAGAAAATGTGTCGCTCAGTCTCAAGTTGTTATTGTTTTGTGTATGAACCGACTTAGTTTATGTTTAGAAAAGATCTCGGTTTAAATATAGGAACCTATAAGTTTAGTGACTTTCGGGAAGTTTTTATGGTAAATTTACTTTCAATCTCACATCAAGGAGGCTGCTGCTTCCGCATACTTACGTCCGCTCCTGTGAATAAAACAAACCATCATTTATTGTCTGGTTTTCGCAAGAACGGACCAAAGCTCAGCAGTACTAGTTCAGTACTCTGCAGGCGGGGACACGAGCACCTAGAGGCTAAGAGACCATTACCTGAGCAGCCTTCAAGCTGTATTTATTTATTATTTTTTCAATTAGAATATTTGAAATTCAAGATGGTTTCTGACAACAGGATGGACAGAACAACATTTCATCCATAAGACAAAACTAAATGAAGCTGCTTGATGATATAATCCATCAGAGAATAAAAATAATTCTTGTTTTTTGTTCATTATAATATTTGTCAACTACCGTACAGAGTATGAAGCTCGTGCAGGGGAAGACAATCAGGTAGAGTTTAACAGTAGGTCAAGGACAGAGGAATATTAAACCTTGCCAACTTAGAAAGACTTAAATCACGGTCAGGATGAGGATGTTTAATACCTTCTATAGCAGTAGTTGTCGAGAGTTACGTTGTAGAGAGTGACAGCTGCTTACTAACTCCCTAAAGTCTAATGAACTGCACCAACTGTCAAGAGAGACTAAACCTTACCAACAAACCAGAGAGGTCATATTACTATTCTGTTATACGTTCTTAAAGGCCTTAGAGCAGTAATACATCTTAACATCAACACCAAACTTCACAATTTCTTAGTTTCTTTCACAAAATTTCACCTTGAGATTTTTTTTTCACATTGTTTTAGTATAATAAAGTTAATGGTCTTGACGGGCTGAAGTAAATACCTGTTGGATTATCTTGTTGCTGATTGGTTGATTGGAGGTTAATAGAATCCGAGGTGGAAGGTGATTGGAGGACAGGTTGGTGTGGGAGGAGAGGGTGAAGAAAATGGCAATATGGTTAGAGTTAATTGATGTTCCTTTAAAACCTAAAGTAAATTTATCTTCAAACTTTCATGTCATAACTTTTTTAATTCTTAGTAAATAGTCATCATAAAACTATTGCCGTGATCCTTGTGTTTCTATTAGTTGTGTTGTGTTGGTGTGTAGTGTTGGTGGTGGTTCTGTTGTTCCAATCTCAGAGGTTTTGCGATACTGTAGTTTACCCTAACTTGTCCTGACCTGTCCTAACCTAACCTAACCAAACATTCCAGACTAATGGAATGGTAATGGGGGGATGGGACAGCAGAAGCAGTAGTGTGTGTGTGTGTGTGTGTGTGTGTACGACAGTCTTGGCACACGGTGTTGTACCTGTGGCCGCCAAATCTCTCCTGACACCACACAACATCCGTCTGGCTGTTTTATCTCTTCTCATCTTCATCTGTTTCTAATCAGTTATTCATTTCCACTGGATAGAATCACGGGAGAGAGAGAGAGAGAGAGAGAGAGAGAGAGAGAGAGAGAGAGAGAGAGAGAGCAGACTTTTTTTTACATTAATATCAAGTCAAATTAATTTCAGTAAAGCATAAAGAAGATAAAACAGAAAGCAATTTATAAATCGGTTGTACTTTACATCAGTACATATAATTTTATATTAATTTACCCTCTCCAACTGCCCCTCTTGCTGCTCAAAATATTTACTTGTCATAATTCAGTACCTTATTATTATAGACTGTTTATGGATGTAGTAATATAAATAACATTTGCCACAAGAATCACAGGAGAACTCTCTGTTTGTTAGACTGTCAGAAATGTGTCTCACTTTCTCAACTTATGCCTCAGATTCAGACGAAAATACAGATCAATAAATGTAATAACCAAACAAATAATGTAAAAATCTTATAATTAATTAGTACCTGGCTTAGCCCATTGCCACCGTAGTAAATTATAGTGATCACTTGAGTACTTTCTGGCAAGACGTCAAGTATTTCAAACTCGTACACGATGACCACTGCCTTGTTAGTCTGGGTAGTAGTGTAGAGAAGTTCAGTGTTCTTCATAGATATTGTTCATTTTCGGTGAATTAGGTGAGTGATATTAATTTCAAGGTGTTTTTATTTTTATTTAAAATTTTTTATCATATTTTTTATTTATTTATTTATTTATTTGTTTAATTAATTAATTTTTTTTATTTGTTTTTATCATATTTTTTATTTATTTATTTATTTTTATTTATTTATTTAATTTTTTATTTATTTATTTTATTTTTTTTACCTGTGAACTCCTCGATCGGTCTTGTAATGGGGAAATAGTACTGTGCATATTATCAGTGTTTCATATTTTGAGACAACTTTACACAGCACTTCATTATTCAGACTACCTTTGCTGGCTCTATTATTATTATTATTATTATCATCATCATCATCAATCATCATCATCATCATCATCATCATCATCATCATCATCATCATCGTCATCATCATCATCGTCGTCGTCGTCGTCGTCGTCGTCGTCATCGTCGTCGTCGTCGTCGTCGTCGTCGTCGTCGTCGTCGTCGTCGTCGCCGTCGTGTCGTTGTTGTTGTTGTTATTATTATTTTTTTTAACGAGTTATTTCACTAAGGTGTTTATGGTGGTTTGTCACTATAACAGATTATCATATGGTGAAAATTTACTGGGAATGGATAGTGTTTAACTCCTGGTAAAATATAGTAATTAGTCTCATCACACATCAATCAGGAGGGTTTGGGTGCAGACAACTGTTGATGCAGCAGAGACCAACTAGAGGTCCGGCAGTATCGAGGTGTGTTGGCAGGTGACCTAGATGCCTATCACGACTTTCTTGATGGGAGAGGGTAGATGGGGTTAGGGGTCGAGTAGAATAATTCCACTTAACATGATATATCCTCATTAAACTATACAGTATAAGCAAAGTGTTGATTTAGAATTATTATTATACCTTATAAATTCGAGAATTACATATAGTTAACAGGATATAATAGATTTTAAGTCCTCTTGTCATCTAACTTATAAACTTAAAAGTGCTCTGTGCTCTAATACCTCTTGTCGTTGAAGCCCCACATACTTAAGAGCATCTACATGTGTTTGGCTACCGTGTTGCTCCACAAGGGGGTTATTGAGTATTAATGTGTTATTGTGTATATCTGTGTGTGATGACAGTAATTGAAATGGTGTATTAAGTTATTACAGAATATTCCAGGCAGTATTGGTAGGGTTCAGGCTGATGGTAATAATAATAATAATAACAATGTTGGAGGTAAATGTAACGGACGGTCAAAAATACTATCTTTACAAATTTGTGTGAAACAATATGACACAACGGATGAAGGATTTTGACAACCCTAGAGACAAAAGGAGTTGCAGTGTTCATTCTGAAATCTATCGATCACCCCAAGTACAGATAGTTTTTTTGAGTTGCTTATGACTGGTTCTTGGTAGGGTAAGTGAGGGTCCAACTGACATCTCCTCTTAAGATTTTATTGTCAATTTCTCACATATGTATTAGTGTATTTTTGAAACACCTTTACTGCTTTTAGTTCCATTTTGTTGATGCTTGTGTTATAAGTGTTACAAGAGCAAAGGTTAGGTTAGGTTAGGTTAGGTTAAGATGGTTTACTTAAAGTGAAATAAAGCTGTGGGATTAATCTGTAGGTGGTCCGATTAAAATATTTGAATTGGGTTTTAATCGTCATTTACGGGATTGGAACTTCTACCGCCCTTCAATATCACGAATAGATTTTCCCTCCAAGGATTTTTTTAATGTTAGTACAGTCATTGTTCTTAATAATATATAGATGTATATAAAGAGAAGAGGGACTACAACGTCATACAAACACTCACCGAGTTCTTCTTCATCCGTGACACAGGGAGATGGGAGACAGCGTGGCGTCGGCGGTGGTGCGGCAGGAGGGGGCGACCATCCAGACCGTCAGTAAGGTACGTCACCCGCAGCCTGAGGCCCCACCACGCCTCAGCCACCCACATCTGCTATACAAGTGTCTGATCTTGTTGTAGTAATTTGATCAACCAACAGTTCTTCACTTCTTTGAGTTCATAACTATTGTTCAATGTTCTCTTTGTTGAATGTATCTAAAAGATCATTAAATATTGCTAATTTGGCGTCATTTTTTAGTTACTAATATGTCTTATCAAGTAAGGATTGTATACTGTGCTAAAAGTATATGTTGTCTGTGTTAACTTTTCCATGTCTGAATACTGAAGGTAATTTTAAGCTGCTTGGTGTAGTAATAGTTTGTGTGAGAGAAGTGTTGCTGATTCTCTCCCTCTTAGTGGCCATACATCTGCTACAGAAAACCATTTCTTTTAGTTATAAATTGTCTGTTAGAAACGGTATCGCCCTGACAGACGCTAGTTGTTGTCGCTGAGTAGTGCACAGTGTTCCTATAGGAGAATTACTGTTAGTGTGTGGTCAAGTAATATGGTACAGTATTATTTGACCATTCCTCAAGGACCACTTATCTACAGGTTCTTGTCGGAATAACTGGCAGGTTGTTTTGAAGTTGGACGTGAGTGTACTTTAATTATATTACAGCTTATATATATGTATATATATATATATATATATATATATATATATATATATATATATATATATATATATATATATATATATATATATATATATATATATATATATATATATTTGTTCATTTGTTAATATGTAATACAATGCCTGCTGAGGGCTCTTCAGCATCAGGTCGCCGGTGTAACCCAAAGACTGGTGCGTGTTACTAAAAGTTGGCAACTACACTACTGACGTGGTACAGCTGCCTGCCAGCCCACCGTCTCCCAACCTGCACGGTATTGGCAACAGCTTAACAAATGCCTCTATATATTCACAATGCATGGTGTGACCCAACCCTGTCATAGTTGTATCATTCCTCTCTCAGTCCTTCTTATCCCACAACACCAAATAACCCAAATGTCCGAGTGTTTCCGAGACGATTCTCTGGCTCCTAACACCTCTCTTGACCTTGTTACAGACTGTGCATGAAACAGACGGGTTACGTGTTGTTGGTGCCCGGGTCTTGTCCGAGAGTGGTAAGGTCGAATCCTCTGTAGAATTCCCCATGATTACACCCCCAAGTTCGGAACCTTTAGCTACTTCAACCTACTCCTGCAACCAAAGCATGGCTCACTCTGTTACTCCCGAGACACAAGAGGTGAGTCTCCCGTCAAATAAGTTTTCCCATTAAGAATCTCGTTTTCTGTGTCTTATTTTCTATGATGATATATTTTGAAGATACACTAAATGAAAATCTCACGCACTTCATGTATTGCAAATAAATTTAAACTATGAAGTGGATAAATGGTACTTTAACCTCAATATATATATTTTTAAATGTAATTGATATCACTTTATAATAACATTTTCATATTTCACCTCAAGTATTGCTCAGAATTTGCTCTACAGTAGAATCCATTTTTTGAAACATTTTAATACTAGTACAGAATTGAAGTGAAATGTAAAATTGGAGAACTTTTATTACAATATTTAACAACCTAAGTCCAATCCTCCCCTTCCCCCTCTCTCCCATCTCTCCCCCTCCATTCACCATTCAAGTCCATTCATCCATTCCCCTTCCCCCTCTCTCCCATCTCTCCCCCTCCATTCATCCCTCTCCCCATTAACTCATCCCTCTCCCCATTAACTCATTCCACTCCACTCATCCCCCTCTGTGTGGTCACATTAAGAATGCCATTATACCCCCACAACTAGACCAGTATGGCCAATATTTCCACTGTTAACCCATGATCATTGAAGTTCATTATTACTAGATATATCGAAGTAATTAATTAACTCCCACAGGTAAATTAATCAGACGTGACCAACACCCTTTGTATATTAATTAAGATTTTCCATATAGTTTGTTTTCACTCGGATGTATGGTCACTAAATTTAATCATAAGGTGAATTAATTTGTTGTGTTATTTGCATATTTAATCATTTACTTGTATTTATTGTATTAACTCTGTTTTATTTCGACTGAATATTATAACCCGTTGGACGTGAAACACCATTGAGGATTAAGACACCGCCGTCCAATACTGTCTTTTATAATAAGGAATCTGAGGTAAAGTAAACACATACCTTGAGTAAATAGTGAAAATTGAAGAAAAAAAAATCCGTCAGTTCTGTATTTACTTGGTCAGTTTATTTGGTGCTGACAGTCGGTATGATTTACTTTACTGTGGATTTCTTCGTATTTGATTATCTAACAAGGGATTTATTTATTTATTTATTTATTTCTCTTTATAAAGCATCCTTATTGTGAGCTTAATTAATTTTTTTTTTCAGGGTAGAATTTTGTTTTGATTTTTATTTTTATTCCAGAAGATAGAGTAGTGTGATGAGGTTTGGCAGTTGTTTCATTTAATGTTATTTTGTTTCTTCTGTTACTTTATTCTCTCCAGCCCAGTGAGGATAAACTGGTACTGTACCGTGTTTGCCCCCCACAGCCTCGTACCATCACTTTTGCTTTATATTCTCAACGTCATTTTTGTGTTATTTTTTTGTGTTTTATCACCAATAGGATGGCAACTGTACTAACTTCATCATCGTATGGTCATGCAGCATTAACCATATGACGATGATTCAACTACCAGGTGGTTAATGAGGGTGATGTAACGCTAACCGCTCCCCTCCCCTTTTATTTGTGTTATTATGTGTGGCTACCGGTGTTCTAACTGGGTTGTTCAACATGAGGTTATGACACTTAACTGTCTCCTGATTGATAGCACTCGGTATCCACCCTCGAGAGGAGCCACATGGAGGCATCAAAAGAATCCGCCGTCCGCATGGAATCTGTGATGGAGGGCGTCAGCCAATCATCACAGTCCATTAAGAGCTGCAGCCAATCATCACAGTCCTTCCAGAGCTCCAGCCAATCATCACAGTCCATCCAGAGCGCCAGCCAATTATCACAGTCCATCCAGAGCGCCAGCCAATCATCACAGTCGATTCAAAGCGCCAGCCAATCATCGCAGTCCATCCAGCGCATCAGTCAGTCATCACAATCCGTCCAAGGCGTCAGTCAGTCACAATCGATCGAAGGTGTCGTCCATTCACAGGCCATGGAAGGCGTCAGCCAATCGCAGGCCATCGAGGGAGTCAGTCAATCTCAGTCAATCACGGAGGCGCCCGCTGAAGTCCCCGCAGTGAGTCAGTCTCAACCCGAGCCACAGACAGTAGACGAAAACGCTAACTCTATCCAAGAGCAACAGGAGACTCTCGTAGAACAACCAGCTGCCGAACCAGAACCTATTAAAGAACCGGAGCCTATTGTAGAACCAGTCAAAGAACCGGAGCCTGTAGTAGAACCAGAACCTATTAAAGAACCGGAGCCTATTGTTGAACCAGTCAAGGAACCGGAGCCTGTAATAGAACCAGTCAAAGAACCAGAACCTGTAGTAGAACCAGAACCTATTAAGGAACCGGAGCCTGTAAAAGAACCAGTCCAAGAACCGGAGCCTATAATAGAACCAGTCCAAGAACCGGAGCCTGTAATAGAATCAGAGCCGGTGGTGGAAGCTGTGGCTGAACCCGAACCTATTATTGCTACTGCACCCGAACCCGCCGCACCCCCCGACCCCGAGCCCGTGATTAAAGAAGCTCCAGTAGAACCCCCTCCTGTCGTCGTGGAAGTGGAGGAGATTAGCCAGGAGAACATCAAGACCCAGCTGCAAGAGATCATCAGTGAAATAGAACAGGAGGTGGTGTCAGAGCAACAAGAGGAGGAGGAGGAGGAGGTACAGATACAGGCGGGTCATGAGGTGGTGAAGGAGGTGGTAAAAGACGAGGGAGATCAACCCGTGGAGGTAGAGGAGGGGGAGGAGGTCGAGTATTACGATGAGGTATTTGTAGAGATGGTGTTCTGTATCCCACCCACCCACCCACCCACCCAAAAAAAAAATTAGATTTCAGTATCTATGTGATCACTATCCCTAAATTGGCTGTTAATTGTAGTTATTCGATTATTAGAAGAATCTCTATAAGTAAGGATCGTCAGCTTTTTTTATAAACACTTCTTTATCTGTCTGTCTGTCTCATCGTAATTTCTCACTTCAAAATTCCCAGTCCGTGTGTTCCTAGATTAGTTTGTTTATCCATCTGTGTACTGTACAGTGATCTCCTTTCATGCACTGTTGACTATGGTCCCTCGTTTTATGTCTTCCAGTCTCAAGGAACCTTGTAATTTCAACCCTAGTCTGTATTAGCTCCTTGTAGTTGAGTTTCCATGAGAGGATTCTTTAGCCAAACTCTCAAGTCTAAACTGTACGGGACCTCCTCTTCCTTGTTCAATCTTTATTCCCTCGTTGAAAATTATTAATCTCTCGGTAATCTCCCAGTCTACTTTTCCTGCTCGGTGGCCTTTCTTTCCCTCCTCCTATTTCCAACGTCCTTTTTTCACCATTCCATCGAGCAGTGAGTAGTCTTAGTTTCTTAGAGTGCTCCTCCTCGCCCCCCCCTCCCTCTCCCCCTCCCTCCCCCCTCCCTTTTAGTTCATGACTCCTCCGGTAGCAGAAAGTAAGGGGAACTCTGCCTCCTTCGCTCCCCCCCCCCTCCCTCGCCACCATAATCTCCAGCACCTTTCTCAACCAGAAACTCTTAATGAATGTTGATAACTAATTCCTATAAATACCCATATACCACAGGCCAGAAACGTCCTCACCTCCACTAATAACACGTGTAAATATATCCTCCTCCTTACAGCACCAAAACATAAACAAGAAGTGGATAAAACAAATAGAAATAAATGACATCCAGTTAACAGATCCGACACACCATAAATATATTGTTTGTTCCATACAGTAGTGGCAAAACACATTGGCTTCTCGGTATTGTCGTAAAAAAAGGGGAATATGTTTTGTCCTTAGGTATTTGTTGCTACAATTTACGTTCTGTACTACGTCCCTCAACAACAACAAAGGTTAAATGTCAACAAAGCATGTTCTCTAAGACCTCTTGTGGTCGTGTCTATAACGTAGCATGGTAGCCCTGATTGTTCCTATGTTGTGAGTTGTGTTGTACTCGTGATGTTGTCATCTTTTCCCTGTGAATCTGGATTAAGAAACAAATTAGTATTCTATTTTTCTGATCATAAATACTTAAAACAACATAATTCTCTGATAGTAAAGAGTGTTATTGATTTTTTCTTGGTTGATATTCGGGATGAGTTAAATATGACAAGATATTAACAAGTCAATATACAAGAATGGATTTTACAAGCTTCTTCCAGGTATACAAAAAGATCTATAACACATTAAAAGGTTGTTTTAGTCTTGATCAAATGAATATATAGAATAACAAAATTTCCTAACGTGATCACACTAACACACACAGGTGGGGTTATCGTGAACCATCATTCGAACAATGCCTCAGTGTTTCATGTCTAGCCCATGTTACAGTAGCGTTTATTCTCACACAACTTTTGCTTCAGTGTGCTGTTCGACCCTGACTGTTGACAAGGAATAAAAGATCATACTGGGGAAGAAAAAAAATAATAGAAGCCTTAATAGCGTATAAAATGTCATATATTGTGTTTAATTCTTCAGTGAAATAATGCTTCGAAACAGACAAAACAGTATCGAACAGCAATGAAGCGATTTGTTCATGTGTTGAGTAGTTTACCCCGTGTCCAATTGTTGACATAAATCTGAGGATAACGCAATCAATGTCGGTAATATGACAACATCTGATCATTGGGTTAGTTTGGATACACTTACTATAATGTCATACCAATAATTCTACCTTTAGCAGTTATAAGATTTGAGTTACAGTTGATATAATTGTCCTCGGGTTTAGTGTTGCGTTGTGTTAGTGTTAAGGCTCTACAGTGTTGCTTTTAGCTCCTTGTTTCTGGTCTTGATGGGGGTAAACCGCACTACACAACACATACTGATAATAATTCAACTCATTAAAAACTATATGATAAAACTAATGTAAAAAATGACTTAAGAATGAAATATGTAAATAATCACATAACTAATATATTTCTGGTTAAAATTTGAATGTTAATAGTTTAAAGGCACTATTTAGTCCCTAATTGTATATGAATGGATATATTTTACCTATAGTTACTAGCAATACCAAATAGTTAATACTTGGTGCCTAATATTACATAATGGCAAAGTGTAATAGTCAATACCTATAGCTAGTAATATGATGGATAGTTTTAGTTTATAGTCAATAGTTGTTAGTTACTGTAAAAAAAAATATGTATGATAATTGAGATACAGCATTAGGCTCGTAGCTAATACATTTTCCATATATATATTCCTGCCTTATGGTAACACAACACACATACATTTTTTTATGACCTTTTCCTCTGTTATATCTGTATATCCATTTGTTTCTATATATATATGTATCTGTCTATTAGTTGGCCCATTAGTGTGTAATTATCACTTTACTAACCTTATTTCTTTCTAACATTCATTATTTATCATTTTTTATGTCTCATATTTATTCAGCTGTTTGTCTATGAGTCTTATCAGTTTTATCTGTTAGTATCTGTCATTTATCAATTTATCAATGTCTCTTTTGTCCATTTATCAATCTTTCATTTATTAAGCTTTGTTTTGTGCGTTTCTTTAGCATTTGATCAATCTTGTGTTAATATAATCTCTTTATTTATTATTTGCTTACACTAAGGATTCCTCTTCTTGGTACATGAATAAATAAATGTTTGAAATTACATATAAACGAGATTGTCAACATCAACAAGAGGAATCCAAACACACATCAGTACTAAATACACACACGAGCTTAGAACACAGTAAAATACAATTGATAATGGTCTACATAACACACATATACGTACACAAAACCTAGGATACATACATACATACATACATACATTCATACATACATACATACATACATTCATACATACATACATACATACATACTGTACATACATACATACATACATACATACATACATACATACATACTGTACATACATACATACATACATACTGTACATACATACATACATACATACTGTACATACATACATACATACTCTGGATGTTGTTAAAATGAGCTAATACAATGTTTATTTGCACATAGGATGGCGTGTTGCATCACACATGGAAACCCAAAGGGAAATATGAGGTGCCAAAGACGACCGTCACGGTAAGAGAAATAAACAGTGTATAACAGAAGCTTTGAGGTTAGGTTAGGTTAGGTTAGGTTAGGTTAGGTTAAGTTAAGTTAGGTGATGTATGAGAACAAATTAACGAGTCTTATAATGATGCTGACATGAGTAATAGTTAACCTTGAGGATAATTTGATGTTTTGTTAATATTAATGTCAAATCCTTATCTGATGCCCATTGGACGCCTTTGATGTGGTGTTGATACTGATCTGTGTAACCAACCCGTGGACAGTACGAGGATGTTGTGCCCATCAGTGTACCCGAGGTGCAGTTTACCGAGGTGGAACCCAAGCCAGAACCACCCAAGCCTCAGCCGCAGCCGCAGCCACAGCCGCAGCTACAGCAGGTATGGACAGCAGCAGGTTCTTGTTAGTAGGGACGCGTGTACTGTGCCTTTGGTATGGAAATAAATCAATTCAATTGTAAATATTGTTAATAGGTGTTACTGTATGTGTGAGGATAATCCGTAAAAAACATTAGTTATTTTTGTACTAATCGTTGAAAAACTTTATCTGAAAATATTTCTAGATCTTTTATCAAACTCGTTATATTAAGTTATGAGTTGTATATAAGATGAAACTTCTCTTACCATGTAGTTCACCTCTAACAGCCTTCACTTAGTAAACTTTGCTCTGAGATGACTTGTCTGCCCTGACACTAGTCTTTTCCCTGTATGTGACCCAGCATATCACGACACCACCAGATTCGCCTCATTTTAATCTGTCCTGGAGTGATGTGACCTCTTAGCTCTCATGTGATGTAAACTGAGTTATGTCTCGGCAGGTGGTGGCGCCTCAGAACCTGCAGGGTATGACCAACGGCGGCTTCTCTCCCGGGGCCCTCTCTCCCATCGAGATCCCCGAAGGCATACCCCTCCTTGCTCGCATCCTGCCCAAGGTAAGACTTTTAACACTTACTGTACAATTAATGTTGTTGTGAAGGTTTAATTAACTAGTAATCTCAGTGTTATTACCGTTCCTTTAAGATATTCCTATGGTTGAACAGATAAGGTTCTCAAGCACAGACTTTCAGGTCGATACTAAACGATACATTAATTTTAACATTATCCAGCCATGACTGTTGTGTATACTAAACACGGATGAAATGGCTGCTTTTGTTGATGATATTTCACTGAAGACAAATTTATGCAATAGTCGTTGGTGTTCCGTGAAGTAGTGTGTTCTTTTATCTTTTTCAATATCTTTAACTCCTGAACATAGATGAATTATGAGAGGTTAAAGTTCAGTGTCAGTATTGCCAGTGAGGGATTAGTCTCTGGTGAGGGGGGGGGGTGAGGTGATTAGTCTCTGAGGTGATTAGTCTCTGGTGAGGGAGGGAGGTGAGGTGCTGGTGCCAGGGATCTGTCTTGTCAGTGACGCGACACGTAGGAAAAATAAACAAGTGGAATGAGTGTTGGACATAACGAAGAGATGACTCCAGTGTGACGCTCCTTGGCCCCGCACGCTGCATCAGTTCTTAATTATCTTCTTGTTATTCGTCATTTTCATCACATTACCTTACGACCGTTAGGCCAGTCGGTGTGTTCTGTAATTGGTTCTTTGTTAGGAATTTCATAATGTACAGTGTTGGGACAGGAGAAAGCTCGAGTCCTCGGAAAGAGACATACTTGAACCAGTGGTGAGAGACAGTTGCTGCCACAGTCCCAACAACATAAACCAGTTGTATTTTTGTCAATTCGTAGATAAGTTTTGTTAAATGGCCATTCATCCTGAGGGCCTCTGAAAGTGAAGTCTCAAGGACGGACTCTTGGTTCTTACTTAACAGGAGAATTAATTGTAAATCATAAAAGTAGATAATACCAGAATTAATTTACAGAAAGAACTCAAGACTCAGTACTTAACAGATGAGACTTTATAGGGAACTAATTTAACGCACAATAACATCCACTTATAAATGAAGGAGTTAAAAAAAAACATATATTCGGATGATAAGTATGTTAACCGATCACCCATTTAAGAAATAACCTAACCTAACCAAGCACCAAGGTGGAGGCTAGAAATAAACATCATTACCAATACAACAAAATAATTACAAAATACAGTTAATGCTATAGTACTGTACTCTGTAGGGGATAACTTGAGATAGGAGGCTGTTATCTTAAAGTGGGTGTACGTGTGTTGGTCGGTGTACAGGTGGTGTTGGCAGCTGACGGGTGGGTGGGTGGGTGGGTGGGTGGGTGATCGGCTGGCTTATTTATATCACTAGCGATGGGGGAAGGTCATGGGTGGGAGACATGGGGGGGGGTAAAGAATTAATTTTCACTAAGCTCCTCACCTACGTTATCTATCTATCTATCTATCTATCTATCTATCTATCTATCTATCTATCTATCTATCTATCTATCTATCTATCTATCTATCTATCTATCTATCTATCTATCTATCTATCTATCTATCTATCTATAAGAACAGATGTTAATTAAGGTCGAGTAAATTCCTCCACACCTGTGCTTGTTACCTGTCGTTTTAATCGTGTTCCTGGGGATGAAGGTCATGTAGCGCTCAAAGGATGTCGTTCGCGGGTCGTTTCGGAAGCTGTTGGTCGTTAGGATAGGTTAGGATAGGTTAGGTTAGGATAGGATAAGTTGGTTAATCTAAGGAGAAAATTGATTACAGTCTCTCTACAAATGATCAGAAATAATATATACAAATCCCGTCTATGTTCTGACAGTGTGGCGCAGATGAGAGGATGAAAAAAAAACCTGTTTCATCTAAGTTAATAATCTCCCTCTCTTACTTTTGAACCACACTGTTGATGGTGGTGACCTTGGTGTAAATTATCCTCTCTTCCTCGCCCTTATTGCAAGTTGGATTAAGGTTGAGTTTTATCCTTCTTCCTAGATGTTGCGTCATACTTTCCCTGAGCTTAATGTGTTCCGCCAAGCCTATAAATATATTGCCAGAAATATTAAGTGTGGAAGCGTTTCTATACGACCCAACAACTTGCTTCATGCTCCAGTAGTAAACAGTGTGTGTGTGTGTGTGTGTTTGGAGATGTTTATTTTGGCAGACGTTCACATTCAAGTTCAAGTTCACTTTTTAATGTACTTGTGTATTTTATTTGACGTTTGATGTTAACTTTCACTTCTAGGGACCGCATGGAATCAGTTACAGACAGATAACGGTTGTCGAGATCGATATGAATACGTGATAATTTCTCTTCTTCACTTCACTCAACATCTAAATGATATAAAAATGTTTGACTATAATTTTAGGATAATAGTTACGATTACGTTCATCCCAACATTGTCGAGAAACACTTGACAGCACTGCCAGGCGTGTCAGCGGATGTGCCGCCAGCCTGTTCATCTAGCGTGACAGTTGACATGATATAAGAAGCAGTGAAAACAAAATAGAGAATGCATAGTAATTGAGAGAGGAAGAAGAAAAAATATGAATAATGTACTTTAGAAGAAATTAACGATATTAAGTGATATTAGATAATTAAATAAACATGAATTTACATAGACAAACATGGAAAAACAGGGGTGGGAGAAATGACAATCGTGTAGAAGAAATGAAATGTAAATGAAGTGTCAGGGGTAAACACACACTCAGAACACCGTATTAGAAGACTTGAGATAAAAGAGCATCATCTCCCTTCCTCATGGGGGAATATCTTTGTGTTGTTGCCAAAAGTTGTGGTAATATCTGTGTTGCATCCTTGCTCAAGAATGCATTAGAGACTCACTGAAGATAAATTTACAGGAGTTATATCAGTCAGGTGTTCAGTGTTGTGGTGTTTTAAGGTCACAGTGTAGCTATCAAGGTTGACACATATCTGGGTCGTGTCGTGTTTTGTTCTCTCAAACATACTTTTACACACCATATATGTAAGTGTGCGTGCGTGTGTGCAGTAAATGACTCATGGCGGTTACCTTAGCCATGTTAGTTCTGGTTTGGTCACCGAGACGTCCACTGCTGGTGTTCTGACAATGCTAATTCACAGGTCATTCATTCATTCTTTCTCTCCCCTGAAGAAATGTAAACCATGTGTGTGTGCGCGCGCGAGCGAGCGAGTGTGTGTGTGTGTGTGTGTGTGTGTGTGTGAACAATTACAACTTAAACATAAATACAGCTTTCCGGTTAATCTTTACTTAGATGTTATCACGTAATACTGAGCATTAACAACTGAGGTCTTGAAGCTCGCGTTTTAAGTTACTTAATACACTAATCATCAACGATAAAACATTAAGGGCGATACGTTACATTTCTGATAATACTTGATGGGTAAAACAGCTCTATTTAAAACAACAATCGTAATAAATGTAAATCCTCCATCAACAATCTCTTCAGCAACACAATGAATGAAATTTAAGTTCTTCCTGTATTAACTAACGTAAGTACCCGCTGTACAAGCCTTGGGAGAGGGTGGGTAGTGTAAGGACAGGGAGTGGTGACTGAGGGAGTATTTCAGATTTAACACCTGACCTAACCAGGGTATAAGACTAGACAGGAGATAACACTTAAGGTGAGGTTCAGTAAGTGGTGCACCGTGAGTGTGTTGGAGATAACACTTAAGGTGAGGCTCAGTAAGTGGTGCACCGTGAGTGTGTTGGCTGGCTGGTGATGACGTGTATGACACATTACCGGCTGGTGTCTCAAGGTGGTGATATCAGGCGGATGGGTGGTGCTCAAGGTCGATGCTAAGTGGGTGGTGATGGGCGGCGTTCTGGGTGGAAGTAAGAAGGTGGTGACGGGGTATCGTGGGTTGGTTTGGGTGGTAATTGGTGGGTGGAGACAGGCGTTGTGCTTGAATAGCTACAGGTGGGTAATAGCAAGTGGGTGGTGTGGCTGGGCGGCAGCAGGTGGGTGGTGTGACTGGGTGGCACAGTGGGCGTGCACCTGCCCCTTCTTTGGCATGGTAGAAGATGAGCCACCGAGAATAGCTCCTCGACCTCAGTTGCCGCAAACCCATATGAAGAATCCCACGGCTGCCTCCTGCCCGCCAGCCCCTACAAGACTCACCGTCACATAAACTCCTCCCCGCACCGCCAGAGAGACGCCCCTGAGAAGATCCTGTGTCTTTCGTCTTGTGGGAGTGTCGGCGTAGAGGGCGGTACGGGAGCTGGGTGGTGGTGGGTGGGTGGCTCAGAGGGCGGTGGTGGGTGGCCGTCCGCGCTGGTGAGGACGTTAGTGCCGTGAGCGTCCCCGAGCCACACGCAGAAACACCTCGTGAGTCTCTATGTGTTGTGGGTGGTGTGGGCGCCCCGCGGGCGTGGGTGTGTCCGCTGGTCCTGTCATCTGAACAATACAGTGTAGATATTGTTAACCTTGGTGTAGTCCCACAGTGTGGTGTAGACAACAGTGAGAAGTATAAACTACAGGACACCTGCAGCAGGTGTTGGCTACCAGTGTTCTTGTTTATCTCAGCCCAGTGTGAGGAACAATGTTTTCCCCCGACCGTTTTGGTACCCGACGGGGATCCTTCGGTATCAACGAGACGAGCGGCCGAAACTTTGTCGGTTTAAAGACAGCTTTCCGATCAAAGGATAGTCGGACGCCGCTCCAGAGAGCAGCACACTTCCGATTCTCTGAACCCGCGACGCCCTCGGTGCTCAAGGATCGAGGGTTGATGCCCTCAGATCTATCAGACCCACACAAGAGACAGTTCCTTACCGAGTTGACGGGCCGAGTGTTCCACCTGGCAGTGTCTGGGGTATGTTATTGTGTGTGTGTGTCAGTACATTACATTACTAAGCCCCATGGCACAGTCTGGGGCCATAACACAGGCCATATACTGTAATTGTACATCATACTGTATAGGTTCACAGAGGCGGTCATCATCAGGTGGAAGTGTTTATCAGGGCGACTAATTAACAAGACGAGACACTTATTCTACTGCATTATTTAGGTCAAGAATTACCTTGTCCTCAT